TATATAGTACAAAGGGAACTCCCTAAAGATGCATTCCAGGTGTTAATCAAGTTGGAAAGAAGATTCAAACAGGAAAAGTGAACTTGAGAGGCTTTGCCCTGATAACCCCTCAGATGATAAACAATATGTTGTCCGTTCATCTTCACAATATATGGCAGGAAAGAGTTTATAGCTGGCTCCGTTAAGTCTGGAATGCCATCCCGGCTGAACATATAACAACACATAGAGTACTGAAAACAAAGATAAAACATGTCCTTCAGTTCACACATGCAGTGTCTCACAGGTCCCTGTGATCTGTAGTCTGTTCTGAAAGCTTAAAATCCATTGAATAACATATGTTGGTTAATATATTGATTAGAACACAGTTTAAAACATACTTAAAAATGTAATTTTTATGACAACTAAATCCTAGCTGGGCCTAATAAAACCATTTTGAAGTGTCATGCCTAGTCTGTGAGGGTACTGGCAGACTCAGACCTGTTGCTGAGAAATATAATCCTTTGATGATAATATGAAAACATGATGGCTAATTTGTTCCCATGAGAAACCTAGTTTTATTGTTGCCATATGTATTTTTATGACATGAATGTGCGGGCGTATAATAACCTTAAAATAATATTGTCTGGAAAACTGCTTGGGTGGCTTGGCTGCGGGCGGAAGTTAGACATCAAAAGTGGGCAGTGCATAGACTCATCAGGGGCCATAAATCAAAGGGTGGCATTGCCTAGCAATGGATTGTGACAGGAGCTCACACCTCCTTGCTGGAATGTGGTAAAATCCAGGTATGTGTGTGTGTGTGTGTGTGTGTGTACGTTTCTCAGGTGGCAGCTTGATCTTGATCAATGAGCACTGAACAATGGGTGGTCTGGGTTGCAGGCCCCCTGTGTGTGTGATGCTAATAAGTATGTTAAAGTGTATGTTAAATCTCAGGTTGTGAGCCCCCTGTCTCTGCAGGACACCCCATGACAAAGCAGAACTTGGGATATGTTAAGTGAGTCCAGGTGTGGGAGCAACACAGGCCAACAGGTCTTTGTTAAAATGTAAATAGGCTGTCTGGTTACTTGGAGATGCAGACATCCTGTCTCTACAGCATTCAAAGTAAGTAGATTCTACTTCATTATCACCTAATTCTCATCAGTACAATTGTAAGATATATAAGCAAGGAAAATAAATGTATTAAAAATAACCAAAGCTCAGTAGTTCTGGAAAATCATCAATACAGCTGTAATGTACATAAGCAAGGAAAATAAAGGTATGAAAAGTAACTAAGAGAAAATGAAGAACTGGAAAGTGTTAGAAATTAATAAATTAGTCAGATAATTATTAGACTTTAATGTGTGTTAGTAATGCAGTTTAGTGAGATTCAAAGTCTGCTCCTGTGTGCTCTGCTTCAAGGTTAGCAGCAAGCCATGATACCAATTGTTTTCTTGTATTAATCTTGTGTAATGTTAGGTTATTTTTTAGTTAGATAGATATTCAGAGATTTGTTGTCTAGGAATGTTAGTGCAGCCAGGATGTCTTCCTCAGGCTGTTAAATGCAAGGATAGTTAAGGCAGAGAAGGGCTCAAGTCAGGGACAAATGTTATTATGACGGTAAAAGTAACCATAATATTTGTCTTAATGTGTAATGTTATGTCAAATTGTTTTAGATACACACCACGAAAACAACAGCCACACACATTATTTTCTTCATGTTTGGTCTACTGCTCTGCTCAGCTGCCAAGCTGGCATATCAGGTGACGTCACGGTTCGACAGCCCAGAAAGGATTAATATTGTATAGCAATGCTTGGTTCGGGGTCTT